AGTAAGTAAGTCTAAATCAGAATTGATTTGAAGGGAAACCATATTATCGCACAAAATTGGGATACAAAGGCTACTCTCAGACAAAAGTAAGATCATATACATATTCATCATTATATTCAGGCTCCATACTAAATAATCAAAATAATAAATAGTTACTTGCGATTAGGTCTAATGCCATCACTGAATGGGGTAAAAGGCGGTACAGAAAAACTATATCCTGACTCCTCATCGCAACAAGAAGAGGAAGCAAACATCGAACAATTAAAGAAGACCCTTGGTCCGAATGAAGGTATCATTGAACGAGACAAGGATGGAAACGTGATAAACGTGATAATTGGTCGAACACGTGAAGAGGAAGAGGAGGAGGTGTTTGACGGAGAGGTGGAGCCGGTACCACCTAAAACTGATGTTGTTAGAGGTATGTATGTTAAAATGACTAATACGCAAAGATATAGTACAATCGGATCGTAATGTAGGGTGGATATTTGGATGAGTATGGTACGGATTTTACTATACAATACCATATTTCAACACTTTACCGATCCATGCGCTACTTCATTTGTGTTCCCCGACTCTACCTATTCCTTTGCGTTACACCTATATGCATTATATTGACACTTAAAACATGACTATTAAATGTATATAAATTTTTACCTAAATAGCTTTAGAAGCACAAGCGGCAAATGGATATACGCGTAAAACGTATCAAGCAGACGGCGAAATAGCTTTTGTACGTGAATGTATAGCGAAGTACGGCGACAATTATGAAGCGATGTTCCGCGATATAAAGTTGAACACGCATCAGCACACAGCTAATCAAATACGAAAAAAATGTGAAAGATATCTGAAATCGGTGTCCTCCCCTTCATCAATGTCAATAGAATAAAAAATATTTAAACTATGCCCTTAATCACGGTTTGTGGATTTGGTCTTTTCCCTTGATTGTTTTGCCTCCTAAGTTGTAAATAAATCAACCTAAACAAATAGATTGCAAAGCTGCAACATTTCTTTTCTTAACGATAATGGTTTTATAGTAAAGATGGAAGGTTTATTATTATAAATTTACTATATAATCTATTATATACAGTTATAGTTGTGCTAGTAATTACTTTCCTAAAGGTGAGCAAATGTTTACTGCTTTGCAGGGATACAAACTACTTTATGCCTTCTGTAATCATCTTTTTGACACTGTACACTGCAATAAGAAGCTCTTTTACATCGCGAGCATAGCTTCAAGTCAGTCAACTCGGCTAGAGCAGCCTCATCCTCGGCCGAATCATCAATATAATTACCATCCTCATCAAGTTGTTTTCTATGATAATCAAAAAATGTAAACAACAACTTTCCGTCTTCATCCTGCAGATCTCCGTCAGATTTTTGACATTTCAAATTATTACACATGTGTTGTGGAATTCGTACCATTGCCTTTGAGTGGCTAAATTTCGGCCAGAAAAAATTTCTTACGCCATCATCGTTTTCCGTGCTCAGCCTCTTGTTCACCTCTTTCTTACCTTCCCCATTCCAAAATCCAGGTAAATATCGCATTAATGCTGGGTTTTCACGTTGACGGAACCAAATAATAATTGGTTGATCGTCAACTAACGAGAAACAGACAACAAATGGAGGATCGTGCAGACGACGTAACGCGTGCAACCGATCACGAAAATCCCGATAAATGAATTGTAACTTCTTGAAATTTTCTTCATCATCGTTCACTAGTTTTTTCGCGTATGCTTTGCGTTGTTTTTTCAATTGTCTTAATTCGTAATCGATTCCTCCTAATAAAAGGCCTTCCGACATTTCTTCTACTTTCGGGTAGTGATATGGTAACGTGTTAATGTATTTCAAAGAAGCACGTCGGATCACAAATTGCATTAATCGAATTGGCAAATCAACTGCCATAATCGGGAACATCGTCTCGTATTCATAACGATTGCTTAAAATTGTAACCAGGGTGCCCATATTTGTGATTACCCTATCCACAACATTACTACTTTCTTCCGCTTTTGGTATCGTTTCAACGGTAATGGTTTTCGGGAGACGAAATGACTGGTAACGACCGCTATCGACCGTTCTCATTTGGCAATGCGCATTCCAGAACTCTGGGTTGCCTAGTTGTGCAGAAGAAAGTGGTGGAAACGGGAGCTCTAGCATAGCCTTCGACGCTAAGAATATCCCGTCCGAATTTTTGGCTGCATAGACTATCCATTCTTTTAAGAGGCCCAAAGAAGCATTAACGTTTGGTAATGCTTTTGTACGTGCTGAGAATAAGTGCAGTTTTTTGGTAAGTGGAAGAGAGTCGGTCTCAATTGTATACGAAGCAGACATTTTTGTTGTGCTTGATGTCTTAGAAAATGACCAAACAATAAAAACGAGTTTTTTAAATGTTAACGCGACATGTAAATCATAATCAATTTATTTTTGAATTAAGAAAACTTGCTTTAAGTTTTATTTCACGCGATCGCCACAATTAACAACGGGGGTCTAGCTCAAATGGTAGAGCGCTCGCTTAGCATGCGAGAGGTACTGGGATCGATGCCCAGGTCCTCCATTTTAATTTTATTTGATTTGATTTTTGCGAACATTTTAATTTGGAAAGCTACAACCTATGAAAATAATGATAATGATTATCCCATTCAACCGTTCTTTTATCAAATCTTACAACTTTAAATCGGTTTCTTTCGCGCTCGCTTTTAGGGACTAGTTATAATTTCCGTATCGTCAAAACACTAATGATTTAAATTTTTTTGTTGATTAATGAAAGAATAAAGAATTAATTGAATCAATGCAAGACGTTATAAAGTTTTGATCTCATAAAAATAGGATCCGAGAATAAAATGCTTTTATTTTCTCTTCAAAAATAATTATGCACGAATTCTTTAAAAAAATCGCACTTTATCGTATACACGAATTATTTCAAAGTAAAAAGAAACGAAAACACATAAAACAAAGACCGCACATCCTTGAACACCTGTTGACAATGAATTCGTCTTGGAGACTAGTATTTGCTGGTATACGTGTAGCGGCGTACACACCCCTACATTTCTCCTGTTCGATATGGAGTTATTAAAAAAAGATGCTGCTCTTCGCCGAGTCAATGAATATAAAAAACATCGACTCGTTGCCACCCAATCACCACGCTGAGGTGGCAGCATCAAATTCGATTGGGGAAAAAGGCTCTCTGCAACTTCTAAACTCTCGTTCGACATAAATGTAATACCACAGTGACCTTCTAAGCCACGTTGGAAACTGTATGGTTATCCGCTAGCTCATCCGTGCTATGCCGGCGTCCCACCGTTTTAATTAACCAACATCAACCTTGGAAAACCAAGGAAGGAGTACACATTTCGTATTTCTGTCAGAACGAAAAACGAGATTCATTTGATTGAACGTAACATCGGCCTGCGGGAACCGCAAGCGGGATAAAAGCCGCGTTCGGCCTGATGAGGACTACTGACGAACTTTGAGGTAAAAATACCCACGTGTTCGCACCATAATTTCGGCGTTCATTTAAAAGCACTAGATAGCGGTGACTCTTCGGCCTGGCTGTAAGACAACCGTTAAATCCTAGAATCGTCGATTTTGAGAGTCCAGAAAATTGCCAAATCAACACAAAAAGTATTGTTCAGCGAATCTTCTTTGGGAAAGAGTAATCGTGGAAACCATTTTGCCAGAAAAAATTTTCTTCTGGTTACAGGACGACATCAACCACGGCTGCTGACAGTCTACCGTTCATAGTCCGTGTTTCACCGTTGAGAGATCTTTAATCGTCAAAATGGTCACAGAACGAATTACCACAGTCCACAATGGACACTCTTCAACCGCACACTAAATAGTAACTCCAGGCCTCTAGTCCCGTATGGTCGCGAGACCGCTGTTAGACCCTAGAATCTTTAACACTTAGAAAAGCCCAGAAAATCAATCTTTCTTTGGGAAGAGTAATTCGTAGAAACCGTTTCTGGTTACCAGAGAAAAAATCTCCTCCGGCAACAGGACGACAACAAACACAACTGCTGGCAGTCTACCGTTCATAGACGTATATTTCAGTGCGAAGAAAGTCGTCAAGGTCACAGCAACCAGGGCTGTGCACGAATTACCACACTCCACAGCGGACTTTTCGTGACCGATATGTATGCAAACTATCACCATATAGTGAAGGGTTAGGGTTAAGTTTCGACTACTGCAGCACAGTACACTCGCTTAATCGAACCTGAACAAGAGATAGAAGAGCAAGAAGAGCAAGAGGCCCTAAAGATTAGAGAAAATAAATTTCGTCTTTTTATAAGTTGTGTCGTGAGAAAAAAGATCATCACATTTCACATGCTTTAGATCCCAAAAAAGGAAAACAGAATCACCCTAGCCATGACGTGACAAATTATGATCTTAAAATGATAATCACGCAATTTTAATCATGTGATTAGAAATTTGTGCAGGGACCCGGAAAAATTCAAAACTAGAGGTTGAAATTAAAACAAAATCAATATTTGATATTATAAAATATAAGTCAATGTAGATAAACTGAATGAATATAAATCAATAAAGTGTTTAGTATGTTGCGGTAAATAGCAATATAACAACATTAAAAAATTGAACCTGCATGCCTTTGTCTGCTCGTGTGGAAAATTATACTATAATATTATTTTAACGTTAAAGGGTTTAAGATTATATATGTAAATTTGATCCCCATGCTGGCACACGTTTGTATCACAAAGTGAAATCTTTTTTTCAAGTAAAAAAAAATTTTTATTTCACTTCATGAAATGGATAACTAATTACCTCAATATCAATCTTTTTATTCGGAAGAAAAAAAATGATGGTACGTTTTAAAAACTTGAATTTTTTCAAGTAATAAGGAAAAATGATGATTTAGGCATTTGGCTGTATACCCACTCTTAGTAGTGGTGTAGATGACGTAAAGTCGACTAGCTACCTTTATACGTCGTATCTGACTTTTATTATTTTTATTATTTAAAGATGTAAAGTTTTGAATTTTAAGACTCATTGATATTTGATTTTTCTCTCTTTCTTTATCGATTTAAAAGATTAAGCTAATTTATTCGCCGACGGTTTAGTATCTTGCTTGACTCGTAACGCGTATTAAAATCCAGGTATAAATGTATGCATATGTTACAACTTTGTAAAGGAAATAAATTTTGTATGAGTATTTGATAATATTTGGTGATGTAAATATACACAGCTATCAATCTTGTCTTTGCTGACGCGGATATAACAATATTTTAACTATACGCTTTTTTATCACTGTTGCGAACGAGGCGGTTTCTGCTTTTATTAATCTGTTAAATGATAATATCAATTATCTACTAGTCCCTGTTAATTAATAAATAATAAAAATCAAAAGACTACCCTACAATCCAAATTCATTGCAAGATGAGCATTTTATTATTTTTTTGCCTGTTATTTCGAATATAAGCTTACAAGTTATTACATCTGTTTAACAGAACAGATAGATAAATATAATGTATGCATTTTGTAGATTATTCCCAGAGAGGAGAGAGTGAAAATGAGTTCTGATCTTTAATCCAGTGTATGCTACTTTGATTCTCCGACAAAATCCCTCAGATTTTTACTCGGATATACACATGTTTCATAGAATGCCAGCCGTAAAAATAAAAGAATCACTTGTTACGTGAAAGTGCTGTCATTGTTCGATTGAGACGCTTATAGACACCAGTGTATTTCTAAATTTTTTTTCAAAAATTCGAGTCAATCAATGTTAAGAAAGTTAAATTACAAAATCAATGAACTAGATAAATTATAATTACCGGCTTCTTCTTCGACTCAACAGAAACAGGATTCTTGACCACGGGCACAAATCGGTATTCGCGTGGCTCTCTTATCGGAATACGAGCGCGTACACGTGTAGAAGATGATGTTTCCGCTTCGGTACGCATTTCCTCGTTTACTTTTCTTAGTATGCTTTCATCAGAATAATTCCTAGATTTATTTTATTAATTCATGAGTTGTCATTAAGTTGAACATTATCATCATCATTTACCATAATTATGAACGATGCTATTATAAATACATACCTTGCTCTTGCTGCCTCAGGATCATATACAACAGTTTCAACAGGCCTGTTTCGATAATCATCTGAGAGATTAAAGATTAATCGAGACCATTTTTGCACTAATTTTTCGGCCTTTCGCTGAATTCTTTCGGCTATTCCAGGACAAATATTGTAGAATCTGATAATGAATCCGATTTGACTTGAACGTAGTTGTTCCAGAGTTACCGGCAGCTTTGATTATTTTCAATTTAAAATTATTTTTGTAAGGAATTAATTTAGGTAAAAAAAAAAAAAAAAAAGAAAAAAAGCGTTAATAAACTTACTC